TTGCAAAATGTGTATGGCAGATAAGAGATAAAGATAAAAGAGGTAAAGTATGGAACGAACAGATAAAACCCGCAACTTTTGAGTTAAAGAAAACCATTGACGCCTTAGTTGTTCTAGCTGGTTTTATTTCAATGTACAATGCTAAAATGAACCCACAATGTTCAAAATGTAAAGCAGCAATGAGGAAATATAACTACTCCGTCAAAGAGATAGAACGTATGCGAAACGACTATGCTGACTTAAAGAAAGAAGCAGAGAAACCAGCAGAAGATAAAATGGACATGTTGACATTTCTGAACAAAAACTATCCAACAGCTGACGATTTCCTTCTTTCAGATGTCAAGAAGAAATATAAAGAAACATTCGGCATTGTTAAAACTTTTGATATCCTTCGTGAAGAAATAGAAGCTACAAAACTGTTTAAAGTCATGAACCATCGCAACATATACCATGTAAAACGCTTGTAAATAGTTATGTTAGAAAAGTGGTTAGAAAACGTGTTAGATCTAACATGCTAACATAAAATATATTTTTGCTGAGTAAAATGACCAAATTTCATTATATAACTGTTATTTTTGACGAAGAGAACTTTGACACTTCGTAAAAAAATCCCTGAAATCATATCTTTTTATACAAAATTCAAGAGGTGAGAAAAGAGGTTAGAAAACGTGTTAGATCTAACATGCTAACATAAAATATATTTTTGCTGAGTAAAATGACCAAATTTCATGACAAAACATATACGAAGAAGTTTATTTCCTGTGTTGTTGTCAAAATGTCATGTTGTCACCATTTTCAAAAAGATGTTAGTTGACCGAGGGACCGAGGGACCGAGGGACCTGGTGACACCTAAAATATATTTTTGCTGAAAAAAATGACCAAACTTCATGATATAACTGTATTTTTTTGACGAAGAGAACTTTGACACTTCGTAAAAAAAATCCCTGAAATCGTGAAAAAATGACCAAATTTCATGATATAACTGTATTTTTTTGACGAAGAGAACTTTGACACTTCGTAAAAAAATCCCTGAAATCATATCTTTTATACAAGATAAAAAAATAGCGTTAGTTTTTATAAAATATTTTTTTTTATTTTGTATGTAAAGACAGATATGACAACAACAGAGAACACAACAACTGCTATCGTTCATGAAGCCATAAATGAAGAATATGAGTACATACAGTTTAACAAACAGTTACGTCTCATTCGTTCGGTCAAAGATGACATGTACCAAATGCAAAGTATTTTGACAGCATGTTTTGCTCCAGATACCAAGAAACCACAAGACTGGTTTGAATTAAATAGCACTCATGAACTCCTCAGTGAGTTTGAACATGTAGAACTTAAAAAGATGTACCAAGACAGACAAAACTTACCATCGCATCTAAAAGGTATATATGTTCATAAGTTCCTAGCTAGTTCAATAGCAATGTGGGCTTCACCTCGTTATGCAATCTACATACTTATGCTACTTGACGAACTTTGTACAAAGCAGAGAGAAGATATGATGAAAGAAGACAAAAACATACAGAAAAGAATACCACGTTCGGTACCAAAAGGTAAGGAAAAGAACTATAAGTATATGATTTACACTGAAGAGATGGAAAATGAAGAAGACAGAGATATGGTTATGTTGCATTTAGTCAGAAGAAACAACAAAAGCTTTTACGACCTTGCTAAGATTTACAAATCTGACAGAAATTGGTTCTATCGCGAAAACTTACCGATTTCAATGACCCCAAATGAAGATGTTAAACAGATAGTTCAAGATACGTTACCTCAAACACACTATGATATGAAAGGTTGTACAATACTTACATTCAAAGAAGATTTGCCGCTACTGAAGGAAAAGATAACAGAGTATTTCGATAACTTCAAAGAAGAAGAGTAAATGAACCATTTATTTTTCAAGCTTGACACCAAAGATGGCTCAGGTAGGACTAGATGGTAAATTGCCTCATCTGCTGGGTCTATGTCGGTCATTGTTTCAAGACAAGTCTTTTACTTTTTCAAGACAAGTCTTTTACTTTTTCAAGACAAGTCTTTTACTTTTTCAAGACAAGTCTTTTACTTTTCAAGACAAGTCTTTTACTTTTTCAAGACAAGTCTTTTACTTTTTCAAGACAAGACCCGTTATTTTTCAAGAAATTTTTTGGTGTAAAGTTCTCAAATTTGAGAACAGTGGTCTTGATTGAAGACGATACCCGTACTTTTTCAAGACAAGTCTTTTACTTTTTCAAGACAAGTCTTTTACTTTTTCAAGACAAGTCTTTTACTTTTTCAAGACAAGTCTTTTACTTTTTCAAGACAAGTCTTTTATTGTTTCAAGACAAGTCTTTTACTTTTTCAAGACAAGTCTTTTATTGTTTCAAGACAATGTCCGACGTACCACCAACCGAGTCCATTCCAAAGCCAGAAGAACCGACAGCCCCAGCACCACAACAGACTAAGACTCAAACACTTACATTTTTACGCTTGACTTTTTACAATTTGAACTTTGTTTGCGTAGATGATGAATTCTGAAAGAAGTATGAGGGTCTTGTATGACTTTGTACTTCTCCCATAGTTCATGTCTGTCAAACTTACCTGCCATGGACTCTTTCATAAGTTCCTGAAATCGTCTTCGGACAATCCGGGGAAAAGTATGATATCAGTAAGTATTCTCTTTACATCCTTACTTAAACTCTTTGCTGTCTGTACACAAATGACAACTGAAATGTTAAAGTGTCTGAGCTTCTTAAGAATTCGACACATGTCTTGTTCTCTGTTCTTTACAAAGGATGAGAAGCAAAGTCATCTAAGATAAGAAGACATCTGTGAGGGTAAGTCTTCCAATCGTAAGATTGCAATTTCTTCGAAATGTATTCTATCTTTTCTGTTTGTTTCTGAAGTGTTTCTTCTCTAATATTCTCTGCATTTCCTCATTTGGGTCTTTAAACTTAGAATTGACATACTCATTTATAGCATTGTACTTCAAAACTCTTCTTTGGTACTTCTTTATCCAATCTAACAACTCAGAGTCTTTTATACATACTAACTTAGACTTTTTTATAATATCTTTGAACGAATTGACTGTTTGGTCAAATTGACCGAAGTACTACAAATGACAACTAACTCATAGAATGGGTTCTTCTCATCTAGTTCTTGTTGTTGTGCAGCCATTTTAAGATAAGTGAAAGTCTTACCCGACCCAGGCGGTGCAATTAGACCTGTTATACCATTCTGAGCAAATAAGAACTTGTCATGTATGGGTTTTATCTGAGCATTTTCCAACTTCCTCTTGTTCTTATTTTAAAACATTCTCAAATTTCTTGTCAATGTCAGCAAACTTTTTTTCTAACATATTTTTAGAAAAATTAAAATTTTTATCTTTTAGGAAATGTCTAGCGATTTCGCTATCTATATTCGAGACAAGCTTTTCGACAGCAAAACATCTGTCGACCATAAAACTTACATAGTGTAAACAAGAAAGGTGAATTTGTTCTAAAGTTCTGTTTCTGGGAATATGACAAGAACCATAAAACGTTAAGCAGAGAAGTCTTAAAATTTGTCAATGACAGACTTGTTGACAGAGATGACGCCTCTTGGAGAGATGAAGTCCAACAAAACTTCTTAGAATGCAAAGAAGACACATGCGCTGTTCTTGAAAATGAAATAGAAGACAGAATAGAAGAGCTATTAAATGACAAAGCACTTTTACAAAAATATGGTTCTGAGAAGTTTGACATAACTCCACCAGAGAAGAAGAAGAGAGAAAAGAAAGAAAAGAAAGTAGAAGAAGAGAAGAAAGAACCAGAGCCAGAGAAGAAGAAATTTGACATGTAAAAATAAAATTTTATTTTTAGAACATTTCTGGGTCAATGTCAATGTTCTCTTCCTCTTTAGGAGCAAACACTGGCTTAGACTCTAAAATCTTTTTACCCAATTTACCTTGAACTTCAACTATCTTAGACTTCATAATATTTCATAGTCGTCTGCTTTCTTTGGTTCATAAGGTATAACAAGTTTGTATGCTTTGCCTTCTTTAAGGTTTGAGAACCTTCTGTCAAAACTTTCTTTGACTGTTAACAAACCTTCTATGTCTAAGTCTTCAAATTTCGCACCATTTTTAGTCACAATAGCAAACTTAACTGGTTCGATGTTCCAAACTTTGTCAAATGAAGACTTTTCAAAATGGTAGAAGTAAACATTCAAATATGTGAATGGGTCTAGTTCTTCTTTAAGTCCTGACATGTACTTGTTGACTGAGATGAATTTTGTCATCTTTTCTATCGGATAAAAAAATATTTTTTTTAAAATTTACTCAGAAAAATTTTTCTTTGTATATACACCATTCTGAACATCTAAAAGACTTTTGACATTTGCCAAGAATGTTCGTTTAGACGCTGTCATATAACCATACTCTTGACAATACTGTTTATACGAATCGTACAATGACCTTTCATCTAAACACTCAAAGTCAGTTTCATCTATGAACAGTTCATATACACTCTTGTTTGCTTCTAACAACGTTTGTCTCTCTTCGGTATGTGGAATTTGTCTTGGATTGAACTTTGAAATATCTAATGTCATGAAATATGAGAACAAGTGGTTGTAAAAGTTAGGTGTCAAAGTTTCTGCTAAGTCGTCAAAATATTCTGTATCTTGCATATGAGCTTCTGACGTTCTGACAACTACATATCTTCTGTCAGAACTTTCTAACTTCATCGGAACGGCGTTGTTTGAAACCATGACGAAATTTGCAACATTTTCACAAACTCTTTGGTCTTTATATTTTCTTTCAACAACTCCAACTTTGTCTGTTATAAGACTCTTCAAAGCATCCGAGTTTAAAACCTTTGTTGTATCTATACTTTGAAGTTCGTTACATACTATAAGTTTCATATTCTCTATTGAAGAGTTAAATTTACCGCAGATGTTTTCTAAGTTTGTCATATTAGGGTTCGAATAGCCCTCTAACAGTTTGCACAAAATATCTGTAAAGAAAGTGTTCTTACCTGTTCCTTGTTTTCCTATTATGATGAGAGCAGTTTCATTTTTAGCACTTGGATGTTGTAAGATGTTTGCAAACCAACATAAGATATACTCATAGACTCTTTCGTTTCCATTGCATATAATTTCTTTGACATGGTCTAACCAAGCTTCTATAACATTTTCTTTCCATTCTACTTGTTCGTATTTATATCCAGTGAAGATAGAATAGAAGTTTGGAGAAGGTGTATAGAACTTTATACCACGAACTGAAAAATCTTCAAGTTTTGACAATAAGATATCCCAAGCATCTAACATCTTCATACCAACTTGTACGACTTTTATTTTCTTAAGTTTCTGTTTACATTCTTGTTCTGAAACTATTGTCGCTTTAGGTTTGTTAAAGACTACATCCCATTCTTTCATGACATAACATTCTGGGGCAGAGTCGACATAAATGACTAAACGTTTCAAATTCTCGACTGCTTTGTTATAGTCTCTAAATGGACACATATTTCTGAAGGCTTGGAAGTCATAAAAATCTGAAACGTCTATTCTGTACATTTTTTATAAAAATAAAAAAAATATTTTTTTATTCTTGAGCTTGTTGTTCCATTTGTTGCATTTGTTCCATTTGTTGTTCTTGAGCTATTTGTTGTTGAAGTTGTTCTTGTAGTACAATACTTTCACCAGTTGCATCTTCCAATTCGAAACTTTCTGCCGTCATTGACAAATACATAGGACATAAAAGTTTTACAGGAACAAAGTTTGCGTCGACTAAGGTTAAGTTTATGTTTGCTAAAGTGTTTGAGTTTACTAAAGCTGAAAACTCTGCATTCGAATGAACAATAGGCAAACCAGCAGAGAAAGTGTTGTTTATACGCATGAGTATCTTTTGGTCATAGTAGTTTCTGTCAACATTCGAATAGCACTTTGAACCTAAGTTTGAAACAATATATAAATAGGTGTACTTAAAGTCAATGGAATAGACATTCCTTGTATGACACCTTTTCCTGTTATAGGAAACTGTTGGTAGTAAAAACCAGATATAAGTTTTGTATTATAGCTCATATCGTTTATACTAAACTCAGTCGGACATCCAAACATAATGAAACCTGCTCTAGTTGCAGCACATGTTACATCCGTCCTTAAAGTATTAAATAAGTCAACAAAACCTGTTGGTGGTATATCTGAGTAAGTATCTTCAAAGAAGTATTTTTTACCATTCACAACAACAAAGTCTTCTGGTGTCAAAAGAGCAAAACAGGCTTTAGTCGTCATCGTGTTTAAGGTCAGTTTACAATATCGTCCTTGAGGACTTTGTAAGTTTGTTGTTATAGAATTATATGACTCAGGGTTTTTAGTCGTAATAGTATAAACCACTATGTCTTCTGCCATTTACATATATTTAAAAGTTTTTCTGAAAGTGGAGAAGAACTTCATCTAAACTTTCACATGGCGTTTCTTGAAGTTCTCTGTCTAAGAAGTTCAAATATTTGTAAAGACATAGAACTTTCCTTTGTCTACACGAACAAACAAAACAGGGTCTTTCATATCGTTCAAAAGTGTGTAAAGTCCTTTACATGAAATAAAGTCTATATTGTTTTCTTCAAACATCTTTCAAGAAGTTTTGACATTTACTTAGCAAACAAACTTTAATGAAATGTTGTGGTCGTCAAATATTTTTATGACGTCTGGGAAACTATATTTTAAGTTCAACGTTTCACCTCCTTTCATAACGTATATCTTGTCAATGACATTGTATGAAACACCACAGCAAGCAATGTCGGGTTCTATTTCTTTGATGTTTATATCGTCTGCCTCTGTCAAAAGTTTCAATAGTTCTTTCAAAATTTCATGAGGTGCGATGACATATGAGTTCACTTTTACAGGGTTGTGTTCGACCAAGTTTAACATTAGACCTAAAGCTTGACAAATCTTCTCCTGAGTTTTAAGTTTGTCTTTAAGTTGCTTGTAGTCGTTTCGAATATCTGCAACAGAACTTAAGTCTCTCTGCTAACTTCAGGGTATGTTGGTTGTTCTTTTACAGGAACTATTGTTATACCATCTTCGTCTTCGTATGGTTTCCCCACTTCAACATCTCTTTCTTTGACATTGACAACAACACTTTGACTGTTTGTTTGAGTTGGTGAATTTAACTTCAACGTCTGCCACGCCATTAAACCTTTTGAAACACTTACGCTTCTATTTTTCGGAAATGACATTTTACTTAGAATAAAAAGATGGACGTATTTGAGTATCTCTTCGAATTGAAGCAGAACAAAGTTTACACACACAAACAATACAAGTTCATTGACAGAGTAGTTCTTTACACAAACAATGGAAAATGTTATAGAATAGCAGTCTTTGCTGAACCAAAATATTTTCATAAAGCAAAGAAAGTTGGTATAACCGAGATGGTGAAAATTCTTGAAGCAGACAAAAATATAACAACAAAACTGACCGATATTTCTAAAGGTAAGTTTATAATACAATACTATGTCAAAACTGGCGTACTGTCAATATTTGACGGAGAGAAGTCAGTTCAAGAACAACTTACTGACCTGCTGCCAAAATCTGCTCGATGGAAGCTGTCGTTATACCAATCTGAGGAGCCCCAGCAGGTTTCATCGAACGAATCTTCAAAAGAGCATCTTCCGTGAAAAGTGCTATTGGTTTTGTAAACTTCTTTGCTCTCAGTTCATCTGGACCGTCTCTGTCACCAGTATATTGTATTTGAACTGTACCAACAGTTGAAATACCACCCATAAAGTCTTCTGAGTCAGCAAATGGAATGCCAAGCCAAAAGTTTGAACGGTCTCCATTTGTATATTGAGTGTTTTGAGCTCCTGTATGGTCCATACTTTCACATATGGCATAATAGAACTTTGCATTTCAGGGTTAATGGTTGTTGTGAAGTTGTTGTTAAAGTTCATAGCATCTAATGTCAAGTTGTATGACCTCATATCCTCAACTGTAGAATATTCTTCTCTTGGATAGTATTTGCCATCTATGTTTATATGATATTTAATACCGGGGTTGTAGAAACAAGAATAGTCATTTATAGTTCGTCTGAACAGTACAAACATAGTATCTGCATGTTTCATTGCAGTTGTTAAGGCAATATCTGTTCTTGCACCTGGGTCAGCACTTTGGTTTCCAACTTCACCTGCAAAGTCTTTGACAGATATTTGGTGTATAGGGAACATAAGTGGAACTGCAATATATTTGGCAGCTAAAGCATTTGAAATATCTGGGTCCAACATATAGACTGCAAGTCTGCTTTCTATTCTCTTGCATTCAAACTTTTCGCATGTGAACTTAACTGGGTCCCAAGCAGTTCCAGCAGCATTGAAATAATAGTTTACTTCAGTGTTGAGGTTTGAGAAACCAAAGTCTAAGTCAACTTTGTCTTTGCAAAAGTCACAGAACTTGGCTCCACCAGTTCCAGCTACAGCGATGCTGAATGGGTCTTGTGTTGGTGCAATGACTAAGTTATTTTTGCTTGGAGTAAGTTCAATAGAAATTTTTCCTGCCCAGTTTGGCAAGTATCTTAAAAACCTGAAGATGAGGAAAGATGACAAAGGAACTCTAAGTTTCAGTTTTACTTTGGTTACTGCTGCTGCAGTTTGTCCAGAAAGGTTAACATAAACTCCTGGAACGTTAGGGTCAAGTCTTCTTATTTTCTCAATAGTTGCATACTGGTCTGTTTGTTCTCTAGCTTGTGGTTGTACTGAGTTTCTCAAAGCGAACCATTCATAGTTTGCCCATGTTACTGTTTGAACTAAGTCAGAGTTAGAATATATCTTATATCCCATGAAAACTTCTGGAGCATATTGGTATCCGACATAGAAAATTCCATTGCAACCTTTCTTGTCAGACAACTTGGCAGAAGGTTTTATTTCAATGTCTTGTTCCACGTATAAGAAAGAGTTGTCAATAGAAATTATATGAAACCTGTCGCAAGCAATATCTACTGTTGTTGAAGAACCTTCTCCAAACTCACCTACGTTTCCATAAGAAACAGCAGTTGTATATTCGTAAGTTCCAGGAACTATTTCTGACCTTCTAATGGCATTGTCGCATTCGTTATACCATTCGGAAACATTTCCATTCATGGCATCCAAAACTGTTGGCGTTATATTCTGAGCGGCGTACATTTCATATGGGTAAAAATATAGAATAGTTGGGTTTATATGTCATAATAGAACCCACGTGGACCAAGCTTTACTTTCTTCCTGACTGAGTTTTTAACTCTTCTTTTTCCTTCATTGCCACTACTTTCACTTTGTTCTTCACTACTTTCACTTTGTTCTACTCTTCTTCTTTGGTGTCGCTTTGGTAACTTGCCCTCTGCTTCAAGTTGTTGCATCTTTGCCTCATGTTCACCTAGTATGTTGTAAATTTCCCATGTCCTTTTTGCCTTTTGGCTCTGGTCGCCCATCTCAGGTAACCTATATCCTAGAAAGAGTTTGTCATAGTCTGTATTTGAGTCTTCGCGTATTGTTTGCATGACTCTTTCCTGAGTTTCCGGTTCAAGCTCTTCAAACAGTGCCTGTCCATATGGAATATGCTCGTTTCCAAATATATGTTTTTGTAGCCATTCTGGTTTTCTTTCCATGTTACCAACTATATCTTTTGTGAATGGAAAAGCTTTTACCCAATGTTTCAGTCTTGCGTCGTTTATTTCTGTAGTTGGTTTTATTTTGTCAAGGAACATGTTTTTCAATACTAACATTTCATTTGGTACTGTCCATTTGAGTTTTCTTAAATATTCATCCCTTCTCGGTTCATTGTCTGCAAAGTAAGTTTTTATGACATTTTGTAAACTTTCGTTTGCAAGGTCATGTACAATAGGTTCTCTTCCTTCTCTGTCCATAACTTTCTTTCTAAACTCTTCACCAAATATACCATCTCTATGGTTCTGTGTAGTTCTTTGAGATAAATGTTCTAGAACGTCAGGTGTTATATTTCCATCAGCCATGTTCATTTCATACTGGTCCAAAATATCTGCATGTTTCATATCTTTCAATGGCATTAAAGCCGCGCTTAAAATACCAGCTATATCTGGTTCACCATTGACTTCCATTGCGTCTACAACTTCTTGGAATTGAGGTTGTAAGTTTATGAACCACCTATCCGGATTAGCTTTATGACCCCATCTCATTGTAGTTCCATCGTCTGCAGAAACAAAAGTAGGTTTGTTTCCATCTTGGTTAGGTTCTGAATGAACTTTAAACAATGTTTCATTTCTATATGTTTTCTTGAAATTTAACCTTTTATCTTCACCGAGTTCATCCGAAGATTGAACGTTAAATGCTCGTAAGTAAAAAGGGTTGTTGTATTTGTGTACATTTTCTTTCAGTACTTCCATTCTATGCTGAATATTTTCATCTGGTGTTGGAGTCTTTTGTATGTCGGCAAACATTTTTCGATATTCTTCTACTATGTCAGCCGAATTTTTTTTAGACTCTTGGAAATATTCCATATTCTCCGCATACTCTTGTTGAGGGTCAAGATTTTTCGGCTGTTCCAAATCTTCATCTAGTTCTGTGAAGTTAGTTTCCAAAGGAAGGACTTGTTCGTTTCCTTCAGGCTCTTCTAGCTGTTGTTGCTGAACTATTTCTTCCATGTCTGGTTGTATCTGAACTTCTTCCTGTGGAGTTTCTTGTACCTCATCTGCTGGCATTTCATATATTCCGAGACCGTTTTCAACAATTTCCCTATCTACGTCATCCGCATTCATAAGCTTTTGTTCTTTCGTTCCGTCTCTATTTTTTACGCGTTTCATGACGAAAGTTGAATTGTCATTTAGCTCTGACATCAAATATCTCGGAGTAAATTCATCCATGTCATTTGGATGATATGCTATTAAATCATATCCCTTAGCGAGCTTGTATTTTCCAGGTTTGAGATTATATCCGTTTTGGTGCTGAGCCATAAAGCTAAATAGGTTCGGGTCAGTATTTCCTCCCTTGAACTTTCCAATAGCTTCTTTATATCTGTCACTAAAGTCAATACTATCTGGGAAACCACACTCTTCTTTAAGCATTTTTAAGAATTCTTGGTTTCCTTGTTCTCTACTTCTTTTATGTCCTTGCTCTGTTTGTGGTTGTTGTTGTGCAGGGTTTTGAACTGTTGGTTGTGGTGCTGGTTGTGGAGGTGGTTGTTGTGCTGGTTGTGGAGGTGGTTGTTGTGCTGGTTGTGGAGGTGGTTGTTGTGCTGGTTGTTGTGTTGGTTTTGGTGCATGCCTGTGTCTGTGTCCATGTGACGATGTAAATGTTTTAGGTAGTCCTGGTGCAGGTGCTTCTCTTGGAGGGTTTGGTGGTATATAAGTTCCACCAGCTGGCACATATGTTCCATCTGCAGCGTAATGTCCTACCTGACTTTTCGTTCTTAAGAAAGCATTTACTAGGTCTGTTTTGGTCTGTTGTAACTCTTTTTCTTGACTTTTCACAACAGTTGCTCTAACGGCGTCATAGGCACTTTGAACTGCCTGTCTCGTTGCTGCATCTGTTATTTTCGTCATATTTTGTGCTACTTCTTTTAACTCTTTGTCGAAACCTTCAGACTTCAGTTTCTTTCCAGATGAGAAATCGTTCACTTGTTTCACCTTACTATGAAGAGCTTCGAAGGCGTTCTTAAAGTCAGCATTTGTTAAAGCTTCATTTGAACTGTCTTCATCCGCTTGTATTTTTGTCCTTATTGACCCTATAAGCTGGGCTGCTTTAGCGTTGGCTTGGGCATCTACCCAGTCATTGTTAGCTTTTATATATTCTGAGCTTTTCATTGCCTTTTGCATAGCCGCGTCGTTATTTTTACTTTCTTGTGCTAAGTTTTCATACTGTACGGTTTGGTTTTGCAACTGTAAAAGTTTTTCTGCCTTTACATTTGCTTCAACTTCTTTTTTATACTCATCGCTATCCATATATGTCTTCAGGGCTTTTTGTTTTATTTCTTCATCTTTCAGTACTTTATATCGAGTAGTATGGTTTTTCAAATTTACAACATCTTGTTCCATTTTTGCTACTTCTGCTGCTTTTTCTGACACTTTTTTCGCATATTCCTCTGTACTTAGTTCTTTCAGTTGTTCTTATTTCTTCTTTTTCTCTACGTTTAACTCATTGAGTTTCTTTGTGTGTCTGTCATATTCTAGTTTCTTTTCGTTTTCACCTATTTGCTTCTGTATGTCTATGTTTGACTTTTTGACATCTGCTATTTGATTTTTGAGTGAACTCAAATTCATTTGACTTTGAGGGTTATAAGCTGTTCCGTCTGCAGCTCCACCATAGCCTGCCATTTTCGCTAAAAGTGCCGCTCTTAAACCTCCACTCTGTGCACCAACAACTCGGTTTAAAAGCATAGGATTGCTTGACATTTGTTGCAACATAGTGGGGTCATTCAGCATTTGTTGTTGCAACTGTTGTTGTGGTGTTAGTCTTACTATTGGATGTTTCAATGCTCTCTTCCTCTTACGTATATTCTTACGTAGCTTACGTGGCATTTTAAGTGAAGTTAAAAAGCAGTTTTATACTAAACATCTTCGGGGCTAGAGGGCACGAAGTGCCTGGAAGCCCCAATACCTTTTTTTTTTTTTTTTTTTTTGAAAAAATACAAGACTTGTCTTGAATCAGGACAAAACTTTACAAAATGTAAACTTTACATAACCGTTTCTATCGTACATGATATTTAGTTGACATTGTAAACTATCTTCATGTAAAGTATGGCGGTTTGAAACCGTCAGGAACCTTCACTTTTTTGACGAACTTTCCTCAGCAATTTTTAAATTTTGTGAAAACTCAACGGTTTGACACGTGCCATATGTCATTTTACTCAGAATTTTGTGCTGAATTCAGCAAAAATAATTTTTAGGGTAGATGGGTATATCTAACCCGATATCTAACCTCATTTCTACCCCAGTTATTTTATAAACGTTTCACATGGTAAACGTTATTTTTTAAATTTTGTGAAAACTCAACGGTTTGACACAAGCCATATGCCATTTTACTCAGAATTCATATCTACGCAAACAAAGTTCAAATTGTAAAAAGTCAAGCTTGAAAAATAAATGGTTCATTTACTCTGCTTGTTTGAAGTTGTCAAAATACTCTGTTATTTTTTCTTTCAGTAGCGGTAAGTCTTCTTTGAAGGTAAGTATTGTACAACCTTTCATATCATAGTGTGTTTGAGGTAACGTATCTTGAACTATTTGTTTCACATCTTCATTTGGGGTCATTGAAATCGGTAAGTTTTCGCGATAGAACCAATTTCTGTCAGATTTGTAAATCTTAGCAAGGTCGTAAAAGCTTTTGTTGTTTCTTCTGACTAAATGCAACATAACCATATCTTTATCTTCTTCATTTTCCATCTCTTCAGTATAAATCATATACTTATAGTTCTTTTCCTTTCCTTTTGGTACCGAACGTGGTATTCTTTTCTGTATGCTTTTGTCTTTTGCTTCAAGCTTGTTTTCCATCTCTTCACGTTCTTGTCTATGAATTTCATCTAACATCATGAAAATATAACAAGCATAACGAGGTGAAGCCCACATTGCTACAGCATTTACTAAAAGTCTATGTACATAATATCCTTTCAAACAAGGAGCCAAATTCTTGCGATTTTCGAATGGAATCTCTTCCCTCGGTTTTCCGAGGGAAGCAAGCATATGAGGAAATTCTTCTAAAAGTTCTTTTGTCTGTTGGTTTTCAAACCAATGATATGCTTGCTTTGTAGAACGAAGAGCATTCAAAATACTTTGCATTTGGTACATATCGTCTTTGACTGAACGAATGAGACGTAACTGTTTGTTAAACTGAACCCACTCGTATTCTTCATTTATGGTTTCATGAACGATAGCAGTTGTTGTGTTCTCTGTTGTTGACATATCTGTCTTTACATACAAAATAAAAAAAATTGTTAGAAAAAAATTAGCGTTATTTTCTGACTTTCACAAAAGACCAAAAATAAACGCTTTACATGTATTTTTCAGCAACTTCGTCAAATAATTTTATAGCTTTATCTATCTCATCTACTTCAAACGTTTCTTTACCTTTTATGGGAGCACCATACATTTTCTCAAACTTTTCAAGTAGTTCTGTTTCTGCAGCTCTCATATCATTTACAAACACAACCTTGACTCTATTGACTGTAGAGTCATATCTACTACTTATATTATATGTTCTTCCTATCTTATATCTCTTTGTATTGAAGTCCTTCGGTTTCTGAACGATGTAAAGTAAGCCTTCACTGCAACGTTCCGTATCGAATGAACCATATGTTATGAAGTTATATCCAACAACTGGGTCTAACCATAACAAAACTATTGGTATAAGACTTTTGTCTATAAGATATGCTGTAGTTCCATAGAATCTTACCGATATCATAAGCTCAGGATTTCTTGTCAAAATTTTCTGAGTAGAAGCAATTCTAACCCAGTCGTGTGCTTTCTTTCCAGATGGAGATATAATGTCTGACAAAGAATATTTGTTGTATTTCTTTGAGTATCTTACGTTTAAATCACCAATTCTAACCATTTTGGTGTCATTGTCTATCTTTTTAACTGTTTCAAACTCAACCTTTAACATTTTCTGTCTTTACATACAAAATAAAAAAAATATTTTATAAAAAACTAACTTTATTTTATTTATTTTGTATAAAAGATATGATTTCAGGGATTTTTTTTACGAAGTGTCAAAGTTCACTTCGTAAAAAAATAACACAAAAATAGTGTATTTTAAACGAAGTGTCAAAGTTCACTTCGTCAAAAATAACACAAAAATAGTGTATTTTAAACGAAGTGTCAAAGTTCACTTCGTAAAAAATAACACAAAAATAGTGTATTTTAAACGAAGTGTCAAAGTTCACTTCGTAAAAAAATAACAGTTATATAATGAAATTTGGTCATTTTTTCACGATTTTCGTACGGAATCTCTATCCTCGGTTTTTCGAGGGTAGCAAACATATGAGGAAATTCATGATTTTTGGTCATTTTTTTCGGCAAAAATATATTTTAGGGTAGATGGTTAGATCTAACCTGTTTTCTACCCTCATTTCTACCCCATATGTCCTTACTGAAAAAGTATGTGTTCCATATGTCATTTTACTCAGAATTTTATACAGAATTCAATAAAAATATATTTTAGGGTAGATGGTTAGATCTCACCCGTTTTCTACCCTCATTTCTACCCCATATGTCCTTACTGAAAAAGTATGTGTTCCATATGTCATTTTACTCAGAATTTTATACAGAATTCAATAAAAATATATTTTAGGGTAGATGGTTAGATCTAACCTCATTTCTACCCTCATTTCTACCCCATATGTCCTTACTGAAAAAGTATGTGTTCCATATGTCATTTTACTCAGAATTTTATACAGAATTCAATAAAAATATATTTTAGGGTAGATGGTTAGATCTAACCTCATTTCTACCCTTTTTTCTACCATAAAGTTTTATAAGCGTTTTACATGGTAAACATTGTGAATTCGTGAAATTCTAAACAATTTTGTGGCTTCTATTTCTTCTGTCAGTATGTCAAAAGTTTTCACAATATTGAATGTATCTTTATATTTCTTCTTGACGTCAGATAGAAGGAAATCGTCAGCAGTTGGATAGTTTTTGTTCAGAAATGTCAACATGTCCATTTTATCTTCTGCTGGTTTCTCTGCTTCTTTCTTTAAGTCAGCATAGTCGTTTCGCATACGTTCTATCTCTTTGACGGAGTAGTTATATTTCCTCATTGCTGCTTTACATTTTGAACATTGTGGGTTCATTTTTGCGTTATATTCTGAAACCTTACCTGCTAAAACAACTAAGGCGTCAATGGTTTTCTTTAACTCAAAAGTTGCGGGTTTTATTTGTCCGTTCCATACCTTACCTCTTCTATCTTTATCTCTTATCTGCCATACACATTCAGCAACTAACGAAACAAAGTTGTCGTAGGTCTTAAATTCTTCAGATTTATATATGTCAGAAACATTCTTATATACCATATCGCAGTCTTTGTCCATGACTTTGTGGTTGCAATGAAATCCAAGAAACTCATAGTTAACCTTACGTATGAACTTCTTAATTTCAACTGAGTCGGTTGCTTTGACTTCTATTTCATCGAATTCGAGTATATAAGAATTTCCGAAAAAGTGACACCCAAAAAGTGACACCTTCAATAGGGAGTAACACTTAAAAAGTGACAATTTAAAATTCACAATAAATAAAAATAATAAATTTTTTAGTCTATTAAATTATTCTTTTCTTTGAAATCCTCTAAAAATTCTTCGAAATGTTCTAAAATATAATCTGGAGAATTATAACAAAATTCATTAATTTCTAACATATACGTATCTAACAATTCATTTGGAATTTCAAACGATCTTAAATATGTAATTGAATTTTGTATCTTCTCATTTATTTGAGAAAGTTTTTCTTCAGCATTTTCAAAAAAAAAAAAAAAAAAAAAAAAAAAAAAGGTAGTGGGGCTTCCAGGCACTTCGTGCCCTCTAGCCCTGAAGATGTTTAGTATAAATGAAGTT